GGGGAGAGGGGGGGGGGAGAGAGGGAAAGAGAGGAAGACGTAGGAAAAGAAGGAGTAGGTGGAGTACGATGTAACAATTTGCAGTCTGGCTTTATTCATGCTCCAGACGTAGCATATAAATAATGAAACAGTTATTAGAGATTTACAATATTGGCTTATGGTAAACTATAACAAAAATTTCAGAAAAAAGGTAAGAAAATAGTGCTGGCATAATAGAGAATAGATGGTTAAAGAAAATGGGGACAAAAGTAGCGAGAAATTCACGAATTCTGAATTTCCTAAAGAGCTACTGATATTGGCCTGAAATAGCCTCTAGTTAAAAGAGGATAAAATGAGACTGTTGTACTTCGAATTATACATTTACCACACTCTTCATTTGATGCTGCAAAAAATAGGAAAGAATGTGTGTGAAGCTGTAAACATTAGTACTATAAGTGTGAGATAGTTAAATTAAGACAAAGTAAGAAATTTTGCACGTCTAAAAGCAAGTTGGAATCAAAATGCCAATGGAGAAAACTGTTGAAATACCTTCAAGAGCTAGCAACACCAGCAAGACAATGCTTCAGATGTAAAGTGAGAACGTGGTGAGAAACGTATTGAGGGGTCGTTAGACCTAAACACTCACAGCTAATGTGAAGTCACGTATTAATCGTGATTAGCAGAGTGTGATGAACCCACAAGTAGATGTTAAAAGATAAATGAAGGTAGTATCTCAGTCTTTTGAAAATTAAACTACATTGACCTATTCCTCTTATACGCAAATTACAGCCTAATTACTCTCATGATGTATCAAGAGGTAAGGCGGCGCATACCGTAAGCGCCCGTTATAATAAGTGATATGAAGTTCCCCAAGCCTTTTAAATTATCCAAGTCGTTTACGTTCTTAAATGTCCCAAAGTAGAATATGTAACAATATGACGATCATCGAAATGAATTCTTGACCTGGTATGCTCATCAAAAGAACTTAATTTGATAACCAAAAAGCGTTCGAACGAACCCCATAAGTGTTAAGATATCATCCGAATGATGCGTTGATTAACTTAACCCTTAGGACCATACAGGGATCTTTCGAAATAAGTTTCATTGGTACTAGACTCGCAACAGGAGCCCTTATCGTCGTTTGAAACACGTCAAATACCTCTATAGCCTTAGTCTGATACCACTAAAACTCATCACGTCGGCAAAGGTATGTTGTAAGGTACGCGTGAGTGCAGTTGGGTACACTTTTCAACAAAAAAAATAAATCAGGAGTTAAAGAATTCTAAAAGAGTGAGTGAAAAGTAGCGCCTACCAGATGTAATCGAGAAATTTAAATAGGAATAGAATATTCGTGGCCTGTTAAGATCGGGTATACTATGACAAGAACACTTGGAGGTCAGAATAACCAGTATTTTCACAAAAAACGATTCGACAATGATGCAACGGCCTCTAAAGGATTAAAGGCAATGAGATTTACGAATACAAGGGCTTGGTAACGAAGTAAATCCATTATCTAATGCGTTTCAGCCAAAATTGCCATTTTCCTTTTTCACATTATCATGTTAGAACCAAATTTCAGGAAACTGTAAGCGTTTAAGGCGAAATTAAACTTGACAGGTAACATCTCTAAGACTTAAAAGCGAATTCCAAAAGACTAATAGGGATATGCCATTGAAGGGTGAGTTCCGCAGTTGCGATGTAGCCAATCTTGCAGTAAAACTATTTAACTTCAATCTGGGAAAGAACGAGCTGTTACTTTAAGCCCAAAGGGAGTTGATGTCTTCTATGACAGGAGGTACTGAGAAGAGGAAACAGTGATTAAATTGCTAAAAATATGTGCGAATTTACTTGCATCTGGTTCGCAATACCTTAAATACTAGAATTCCCCCCCCCCCCAAATAAATGAGGCGCTGGGTAGATTCTGGGCAATAAAAACACATAGGGAAAAGATGAGAATGAATAACTTGTAGTTGTTCCTTTATCCTCATCTTACTTAAATTTTTCGCCTATTGTATTGAAAGCGGTCACATCTAGTCAGTTGGCTCAGGCGAACCTTCCCAAGATACATAGGAAACATCGCTGTTGCCATAACTCAACCTTGAACCTTCAGTCGACCCACTTAAATACACTGCAATGGAAACATTACTGTGACAGAGATTTGAGAAATTATCTCATCTCTCCGATTGTTCATTTTAGTTAGAATTGAAAACTTGCAAAAAATACACACAGAATGTCATGACAACAACACAGGAGCTAGACAAGCATGGCAGCAAATAAAGAGTTGAATAAATATCAATTAGAAATTGGACCATTTTATATGGAACACAATACTTGGGCAATAAAACTAAGAAACGAATCTTACCTTTTTTACTCTGTGACAATTTTAATTGAGACAAATAGGATAGGAGCAATACAAAATGTGGTGTAGATAAGGTAATTAATTAACTTTCCAGAAAGGGGAAGGAACAAAATACTCATTAACGATGGAAGAGTTTGGATTTCTCATCAGAGGAACTCCATTATGCTACACACAAAATAGGTGACAGAAAATGTCTTTTTCTAAGCCCGTCTTGGTTAATAGGCAAATAAATGCAAAATAAAGATTGAGTTCGGCAATAACGTGGGCATAATAAAAAATGTAATATGGCAAATGATGAGATTTATAAGAAATAGAACACGAAGCATAAACGGAATTTGACGAAGACTGGAAAGCCCGTCATATTAAGCTTCAATCACAATAAATTTAGAAGTGTGTAGGGCTTGGTTTTAAGACAAGAAAGCTGACCATTACTTCATCTAAAGAGCGAGACCTCACCAAAAAAATTGTATTAAATTAAATTAAATGGCATGGACTATTTAACAAATACAAAGCACCGTCGTAGAAGTAGAGCCTAGCAAGAAATCAATGAACTGAAGAAATTTATAAATTAATAAGATACAAAAATGTGAGACTGAAGCTGCGTGTAGAGTGATGATGTGGGGGGGGACATAAACAATGACTAACAGGAGATGAAATAGAAGAGGTGTCAAGCAAGAAAGTGGCCAACATGACACACTTGAAAGGGAGAAATTTTAAGGGGAAATTTCAAAACCGAATTCTAGTTACAATAAAAGAATATTTCATGAAAAACGAAAGGTTTATTTATCCTAGTAATAGTAATTTGCCAACATGGAGCACTGAACTAATTTATCAAAAAAAAACAGTAGGTTATTGACATAACTTACCGAAGAAACAGTTCGTTATTAAAGAAAGAGATTGATAAATTAAATTAGGGGTGAAGGTACGCAGAAAAACGAATAACTAAAAAGACCAGTCAAAAATTAAAAGTGGAGAAAGTCGTAAAATAGAGAATTTATTGAAAGTTCATCTTGGGTAAAATTTGGTGACCTTTGCTATACCAGCACCAAGTTTTATCAAAGAACCTTACAAATTTGTACAGAAATGGTACGGCAAAACCACCTCAAATAGTCAACCATTTAATAAGTCTAAAGCAACGCAACGTATACAAATTGAGTAAACTGCGTAACCTATATTCAGGAGTCAACATAATAAGGCTATTTTGTTTCTCTAACATTACTCTGGAACTTCAGAGGTGATAAACCCAAACTTCACCCCCCCCCCCCAATAAATGGACTATTTCACCACTCCCATAGTTCCAATGATTTTAAAGGGAGAAATTGAGTTTGTCCTGCAAGTATTCAATACGTGGCCGAAATCAATTTAGCTATAGTCGACAAACACTATCTTTATTTAAGAGAATTAATTACAAATATCAAAAAGAGCGAAATACCTATATTGAACAAAAGTAATTAATAAAGCGAATAGATAGTGCTTTGTAGCGCTCCGTGCAGGCCATTGGTAATTGAAGAGAAAGATTTACTTTTTCATTGAGGAAGACTATATAGTGTTAAAATAGAAAATTCGCTAATAATAATAGTCAGAGAAAGAAATAAAAGTAACTTGGAATTTATAGAGAATAAATCAGCGATGTTACTCTATTTTTTTTGTTTCTGAAATGATATTCAAAAATAAGTTAAAAAAAAACTTACAAACAGTGGATCTGATTACTATATCAAAAACGAGATAACCTCTTGGCCATTTTGATTGGATGAAAAAATCAAGTTGACTTTTAAGTAGAACTTAGGAAAAATGGGCAATACTTTTTTTGGAACATGAAACTAAACACACGTCTGATACATGAAGACTGATTTGAAGCCTTGTGATTAAAAGTTCTCTGACCGGCACGTTGAAAATTATTTATACCAGGTGAAATCATAAAAAAATCTCCCAAGTAATTTTAAAGATATGAAGACTTTCAATTCAAGTTTAAATTAAACCTACACAAGATGGAAAGCTGATTAAGGGAACTAAATTTATAACAGACTAATGAAATAAAATTAATAATTGATTGTTTTTGGAACGATGGTCAAAATAAGACAACTTGCATAATTCATTCGAAACTATATGTTTAGCAAATACGCAGCACACTTTAAAACTAAAAATGAATAATTAAAAAAATGATTAAAAACAATCAAGAAAGGGACAAATTAGTGAAGGTAAAATGATTTACCATGATTCAAATAATTGAAAGACGAAATTCAAAGAGATCAAAAAAGCTTCAGCTGAATGACTGAATTCCAGTGCGTATGAAATAAGGCGCTATGGTCAAGATCTAGGGCATATCAAAGAAAACAGTATTTAGTGCTCACCACTCCCAAAGTTTGAGACTGTTGTCAAGCGATCCGGTGATAATTAAGTCCCTGCCGTCAGACGCCCTCTTTCGCCACGCACAGCACCAAATCGCCTCGTTATGAGCTATAACAATAAGTTAAAAATTTATAAGTCGACTTTTGTTAGGGTCCGCGGAATTAGGAAAGATAACGCTATTTATAAATTTTTCAGCATATTAAAAATGGTAAAATAAACGGCAAGATGGTAACTTCATATAAAAACAAAAAAAGGATTTAAGAATCACGAACAATTTTTAAACAGAATTCTCACCTTTCTCTAGTGTGTATTTTCGCGAATACTGAAGAGAAAATGCAATGTGTTAAAAGTAATGAGGAAATAAGAAGGTAAAAGTTAGAAGTCAACAAAAGAAATTGAATTATTTATTACTTAAAAGATTAACAAATGGGAAGAAGAAAAAAAGGACAAAATGAAAATATAAACAGAGAAGCGTATGAGACTAGAATGAGTTCTTTTGGAAGCGAAGTGAAGAGTGTTCAACAGCACCGGTACGAATGAATTTGAAGAGGGCATATCGACACAGGAAGAGCAGCGGAGGAACAACTGAGAATCGACTGTAAGGATGTAGCAGACGAACTTTCCTGTTTTCTGGCATTGCTGAACATGTTTCAAAAGTGGTATTCGATAGACAATAAGCCCCAGACTCTGACTGAGACATGGCGTGTTCAATCAGAGCTTCAATAGATTCAAAAGCTTCATCCTAATACAATAAAAAAATTCAAAAATTAAAATTATACTTGAATAAATCCGAAACCACAATCACTTTGAGTTATTCGGTTGTTTAGAATGGTATCATCAGAAAACCGAAAGGTAAGAGTGCAGAGGTTACAGTCATTTTCACTGACACGAACAAGAAAAGAACCTTCTGGGGCATTATGCAGCAAACCATTGGATTCAAAACGTGATAGAGGGCCCCAAAACCAAGACTGAGCGCAGAGACTGTTGAAATGAGGAATCTCATCTTCCTTTAGGCGTTCATTTTTTAAAAGAAATTTAATCAATTCTAATAGAAGCAAAATGATTGTAGAAGACTAAAACCAACCTTCAAGTCTCCTTTCATAAGCCCTTGTAATCTGGTCTTCCTTGCCATGATAAGAATTATGTGAAACATCCTGAAAATAAACATTTCCATCATTTGGGAAAATGCAGTTTTGAAACCAGTACATCAGCTTCAGGAGAGGTGGTTTCGGCATTATAAAGTCAAGTGGATTTAAAATCGCGATAAATTTGAAACATATGTCTCAGGTTGAAAAAAGCATCTTAGAGATGAAAAAGCCCAATGATAAGAAATTCATAAAGTTCAAGAGCGTTCAGCAAATTCAAACACAAACTGTATAAAATTTGTGAGTATAATTGCGCGTATTTTGATCAATCTATCAGTAAGATTTTTCCATCTTTTTATTACATTATGATGCATATACTACCGAAAATAAGGGAATAATCAATTTCGTTTAAATTAATGGCATTGAATGGAAAATTTAAATTGCTACCGTGAGCCAATTATTTTTCAGTCGTGTTTTCTGCACGTTTTCGGCATGTGAGTACTTTCATCTTGTCCCTTAGTGTATTTTCTGATAAATATACCATTCGGAAATTTGTTGTTTCAATATATTTCTCTCAAAAATTTTTCATTCTCTGCTTTTTAAATTACTCTTTATGCTAGATATCGCAATGTCCTCGGTCTTGCCAAAGAAACTTGAAGATTTTGGTAGTTCTGACTATTGGAATAATTTCTTCACTAAACGTGACACTTCTTTCGAGTGGTATGGGGATTTCGCCACTCTCGTTGAAATCTTTGTTCAAAATATTCGCAAAACCGATACAGTTTTGGAAGTAGGCTGTGGTAACTCCAATCTTTCTGCAGAAATTTACGACAAAATTGGTTGTGCCTCCTACCTTGGCATTGATTACAGTCAAAAGGCTATTGAACAATCTCAAAAGCTTGCAACTTCACGTCAAAATTTGCGATTTGAAGTCGTTGATATCTTTAGACTCAAATCTGATTTAGCTCTTTTAGAATTGCCCTCAGAACATTTCAACTGCATTATCGACAAGGGTACTCTTGATGCTATTGATAATGGAAAAACGGAAGAAGCCAAGATTAATCAATATTTTGAAAATATAAGTTCTGTTCTCTCTCTCTTCGGTCGTTATATAATTGTGACTCTGGCTCAGGACCACATCGTTAAACACATTGCTGATTATTTCCTAAAAGAGTAAGTTTCAATGACTTTTCCATTTTTTAGCTGGGGAATTGGTATGGTTCCTTAGAAGCCTTATTTTTCTTTTTCGAAGCATGACCGTTTTGTACTCTTGTTAATCTTCTCTTTAACGTTTTAAGGATTCGCTCTCTTTTCTTGAACTTTCACCCCGTGTTAACCTTCGCCTTCCTAATAGCTCAATATTGTTGACCGAATATAATTATTTGATAAGTGTTTACTTTATATTGTGTGCTAAAATTTATCTATCTCTATTGTGTATACTTATATTTAATTAATAAATTGGTGGGTAGACACAGCTTCGTAGCAGTATTTCAATCATAAGGTACTACAATCATAAATTCTTATGCGGGATTTTGGTTATCATTTCGGCTTTATATTTCTCACTTTTTATTTGCCCAATTGATACATATTATCCGGTATAAGTAGTTTAGCACCTTTTTTATCTTGGCAAATCGTGTTTACAATTTGCCTCGTTATTCAGAAGTATTCACTGCTTTATTACCCTTATTTATTCCCTTACTTTGTAATGACTTCGTGTAGTTTACCTTTTTACTCTCGAAACCTATTATTTATTAGTCAATACTATTCGATTTAGTGCACTTAATTTCTCTCCATCCCGGAGGTAATCCATGAGTTGTTATTAGTCCCATCTAAAATGTGTGAATTGAGATATTCTTTTCATTCCGAGAAATTTTGGTCAGTATATTTTTTATTAATTTAATTTGTTTTATTCACAGAGCTACAGTAGGAAATTGTTTCGCCCTGTTATTTTTGTTGGCTTAAACGTTACGAACTAGTCTTACCTATTGCATATTTCTTGTTCAGAGGTAGTGAATATATGGTTAGCTGTTTCCAAGTAACCAATCCCGAGCGAAGGGATGCTAGTGGAGACTCCCTGGCCATGCCTCTCTTTGCCTTTGTTATGACAAAGCTGAAGGTTTCTCCATCTCTTCCCCAACTCCGTCTGAAGTCTGTCGGAGATGATCAGCCAATTCGCCATGATGGGGAGAGTACCGTGACCATGAAACAGCGCCTGTTTGATTGGATAAAGTACCTACAAACCTCGTGCATACTGGATCAGAGTCAAATCAAGTAAATTAAAGAAAAGTTAAAATATGTGAAATTATTTGATAATGCCCTTAATGCATGTTTCAGTATTTTATCTAACTTCGAAGTGTAACTTTCTCAGATTTCCTTTTCGTGGCAGTTTTCTAATTGAATTTCGGCGTCACTTGTTGACTTGTTTCATTCGTTTTAAGTGTCTTTTAATTTGACCAATATAATTAAATTAGTTAGACCTTCAACCTGCGTCGTAATGGAATGCGAATTTTCGTTTTTTGATAGCATTGACACTAATTAAGTAAAATACGAGCTGGCGAATACCATCATCGATTTAATTCAGTTTATTTTTAAATTTAATTATTTTGGGTGTCGTTACTTTCGATTACCTAGTATTCACTGCAACTTTTTTTGTATTAGACGTCGGAAGAAAATAAACTTTCATACTCGATTGTTTTGTGGTTTTTAATTAACTTCCTTATCCACTACCATTCATCTTTTCTCTTTAATGCATTACTTTTGAAAGTTTCTTGTAACTAGTTACAAAGTTACAATCACAATTTTCGGACTCGGGTCAGGCTCAAGGTCAAAGTTAGTGGCCCTCTCGTGGAAAGAAATTTATATAATAATTTTCCTTTATGGGGTCATTTCAGTTTCTGGTTGACAAATGAATGTTTAAAAGAATTTGAGTGCTTACTTATGCCTGGATGGTGTACTTTTCGCCAGAAGAAAGGAATAAGAACTAATTAATATGGTAGACAGTCGGTCACGAAATCCTATTACACCTACTTATTTATTTTTTTATCATATATGCATAACCAATATTGCTGTTCAGTACAATCCATAAATTGAGTAGATTTTTTTACGGTCATTCTAACTTTTATTTTAACTTACGTCAAATCTAGATCACTCGTTTTATGTATTTATTTATGTAATACAAAGAAATTTTTCACTTTTCAATAAGGACCAAAGGCGATCGTGAATTCGAAATCGTTCATGAGGTTACGGGTATCACCATGTTCACCTGTCGTATTGCTTCATCCCCTTCCCACCGCAACCGCAAACCCCAACCCAAGGGTGTTCTTTTGGTGCCCCAAGATCAGGCTGTCTCGTTCGCCACTCCAGAGGGCGCCTTGGTTGCCCTCGATAGTATGGGACGACTGCCTTGTGCCCTGCTCGCCTTCCCCAATCCATCCATTCGATTCACCTCTCTCGACGTCGCCAAGTCGCAACTCTCAGATGGTCTATGCGCCTCGCCTCTAGCCAGTGCTGTTCGAAACGTGAGCTGCTCCCGACCTTTTCTTGCTTTTGCATTAACTTCATAATTGTAAAATTACTTTTTCGCATTTCTGAATTCCAGCAATTTTGATTAAATTGCTCCTGTAATTATTGGGAATTTAAATAAGTGTTAGAGGCAACGAATCTGTTTGATGCAATCGCTGCTCTACTTACGACTCAGTAAAGCAGCTTACCTAGCGTTGTTGAATCAAGGGTGGTAGTGCTCAATTTATTGAATACCTTAATCTAATCGTTGATTGGTCCATTTGACTCCCGGTATTCTCATCCATTATCAAATTTTACCTATTTTGGTTTGTGTAGTTTTGGGGGCGGGGAGTATTCTGGTTTCTCATTCCCAGTCGTTTTTACCATTAATGATTAATCTCGTCCCTACATGGCTCCAGGCGTAGTTGGAATCCCTTTATCATTAAAACCACCATGGTCACTTCACTCCGGTTGGAGTGGTGGTTTGCAGGTGTTTGAGAGAGAATTTTGCTAAATGCGACTTTTCAAGAGCTAAAATTGCGTTCATTTGCTGTTTACTCACCTATTTTTTCAATTTAATTTGGGAGTATGCACGCATTTTCACGATGTCAGCAGAATGATATGAGCTAGGTGGCTGTAAAATAGATTTCACCAATTTCATCGTTCTTTTTGTAATTTCGTGACTGACACTTATTAAATTTTCACTAAGGAAGAGTTGATCAATTTAATTTAAGCATTGATTTTTTCGTCAATTTTAGGCCCCAATATACAGCACTCCTGACAACTATCTTCAGATGAAAGAAATCAAAGAAAACCCACCCTATGCCTTAATAACCGAGGCCCTCAAAAAGCGTAAACCACCACCCCGACTCCTTGTTCAAAATCTAACCTCTGGCAACGTCTATCGATTTATCAGCTCTGACGGTTTTTCGGATCCCCTAGCAATTCTTCTTCTCACTTGGATCACACTTACCCGACGACTGGCTGATAATCTCGGCTATTTGGGTGCGAAATTCTTCTATCAAGGAGTACCCTCTTGCCTTCATAAAGCCATAATGAGTCAACTTTATGTGAACATAGAAGAAGATAGCCTCAAGAGTCTAGCAAATGAGTTGAATTCCGACATCAAGTACGTTGAAAGTCAAGAACAGTCTCAGCAATACGCTCTTATGTGTTATACTACGCCGGAAGATGACAAATTAAACCCTGAAGGCCTCTCTTCCTTCATGAGATCTGCTGAAAAGTACCTTCTGACTCAAGGAATTGGTTGTATTTTCAGACATAAAATTATCTCTTCTGCCAATTTGGAAGAGAAGATTGAGCAAGAATGTGGTTCGGCTCTTCAATTGCTTGTCAAGCATGAGTTTGAAACCGCTGTGGTATATGTGATTTATAAGAAGAAGCCGAAGTTGTCCAAGGCGAAATTTGTTAATAGAGTTCGACAAATGGCGACTGAGGCGATGGCCTTAAAGAGCGGTGCATTTGCAGAGGCGGAGTCACTTGGTTGCAGTGGAAAGGTCATTGGAAATGCAAATGAATGTCTGGTCAATCTAACAAGGCTATTGACTCAGTAAATGACTACTAATAATTGGCTGTAATTTTAATTATCCTTGTTTGAGGACTTTTAGTAAATATAAATCTCCACGCAAATCAATCCGACTTATTACTTCTTATTTTCGAAAATATGGGTGTTTTCGATGATGTTTTTTTCTAATAATAGGTATTTTGGTAGACTTATTCCAGTTACTCTGACCTATTGCAAGAAGTTGGACTTCTTTAGTTGAAATCGTAGATGGTGAATAAATTGCCCCCTTGAATTATAATATGTCTTTCCACCTTGATAGTGGTTCGTCTTCTGGCTTTATTTATTTTCCGCATTCTACTTTATTCAAAAGAACTAGTTGTAGACCGGCCAATGATAAGGCAGACTCATGTAAGAAACGTAGTACCTTGATCTGATATTTTGATTTGGTTCAATATGTATTTGCAACTCATTATGTGGGCTGAGGTCTTTCGAGGAGTCACTTGATGTCCAGCGACCATTTCTGCAAATTATTGCGTCGCAAGTTGTCGTTTAGGGTAGTGAATAAAGTCCTCCAGAATACTGCCTTAAAATGAACAAAGAGAGTTTATTGTACAAACTAGTTAGGAAATTAGTAGTGAATAGTAGAATTATATACTAACCTTCGAGTAAAAGTTCTTCTTTTTATAAACAGTCACTTTCTCAGGTAGATATCTATGGACACGCACATAAATCTCCGCTGAGGGATATTCTTGACTGCATCTAATCACCCCTCTCGCTAATCGGCATCCGATGGCCTTTCCAATAATAGAATCGCACCTTCATGAAAGAGTCCATAACTTTAGCATTTACCTTTTTTCAGGTACTTTACAAACTTTTAATTCATTTCCAGCTGTTTTTATTGGACAGTTGGGCCCACTTACCTCACCGTAATTTACCCTCTATAGACCAATTGAGTTTCCACTCCTACTGATTCTAATAGCAACAGTTCACCTTAAATCTCAGTTTTTTTCAATTGGAAAGGCGTTCGGGTCATCTCAATCTATAAGATGTCCGTTAGCAGTTTTAATGGCATATAGGAAAGCATCAATTGTTTGAGCTCCTGAAGCACTACTACAGTAGGTATTAAGTGCAAATTTATATCCCTCTTGGGTGAAATCTGGAAAAATAATTATTACTTAGTCAGCCTACAATAAAACCTAGTTCACATTTTAAATGTCAATTGATTGAATTGTTAGAAGACAACAGATGAGAAAGACTTCAAATTCATGAGAGTCTCTATGCGTTTCAATATACCAATTTCAAAATAATTCTAATTCCTCATCAATGGGTTAAATTTGTCTCACACATCCTTTATCTCAGGTGATTTCTTATCCAACATTTTGTCTTTGTTCTCTGTTAGCAATAAGCACCATCAGGTTGATTTCATTCTTGAACTCAATTCAAGCACAAAATGGAAATATCTAACGTTTCATCAGTTGAAATAAGAGTTATATCAAGTAATTTTCCAAAGCAAGTACCTGATAAGTAAGTAATCATTCGATATTTAATGAATTTTAAAATTTTTTGTTGAAGTCATAAAAATGCAGAATTTGACCGTTAATGCAAGAATGTTACTCAACTCATCAGCAGGCTTTAGGAATCAAATTTATTATAACTAAAAGTAGGAAGGCAAGTAAAAGGACTTCTATGAAGCGGTATCTAAGATTTAATTAATATAGTACTACGCGGTAATAAATTGCCAGTGAAGTTCTGTTAATAATATTATTTCAATTTTCAGCATGCGAGTTGAAAAGAAAAGTAATAATGAGAAAAAGTTAGCAATTGCGGTGCAAATTATGAAAATCAACCTCGATAAATGACTCTAGAAAGCTGTTCGTATTCCTTCTTTCGAAATGTTTAGAGAACCCTGAATAAGAAACCAATTGATCATACTATCAAATTTTGGGATAATAAGGCAGGCCAACATTATAGAATGTTCATTGGACTACTTAACGCGTATCGAGCATCCCCGAGTATGTGTGCATAGGCCTTTCAACGGCTCAACGAACAATCTTCGTGTAACGAAGATTAAATGAACTCAACTTGTGAGTCCTTTGAGATAGGACTTAATCCACTAAACATCTTGTTTATTTTCGAAACTTTGGAGGTGGACAAGGCAAATATGATAGAAAACCCGAAATGGGAAAGATTGTATAAATTAAAAAGTTAAAATCAGATTGTACCCCATACTAAATTTCTGAAATATGATTTACATTAAAATTTGTTATGTGCTTCCTTATCAAATACAGTAACCGACACTTGGTATCTTTAAGAAACTGAATTAATTGCAATCCCAATCGGGCAAACCCATATTGCGAAACAACAAAATAGCAATGTCAAGAGATGATAGGAAACAGTGTAGATAAATTTGCATTGGTAATGAAGAAATAAGAGGTAAAAATATGAAATCATAAATATAAACATAATTTTGGGGGGTTTCGTCTTTAAATGAGTGACAAATATGCTCCTATATTTCCATTTACAAACTTTAGCCATATCAAATACATATTCGAAAAAATAACAAATTATCAAAAATTAAGATCATCAACTACGTTCACTTGTATTTTGAAAATTATGCGAAACAAAAACAAAGAATATAGTGTTATAATATGCTTTATCACGATGATTATAAGTGTATAAGTTCAATTTTAAAATTATTTGGAGTACATGCCATTAGAATCTGTGATTATTTAAAAATTTAATTCATTACTTTTTAGAATAGTTGTGTACTATATATTTACACTTTGCAGCGACTCATTTTAAATAGGGTGACCTCTTAAATTGTTTACATCGTACATACCAACCAATCAGATAGAGACACACGGTTTTACTATTTGACTGTTGGGTTTTACAAGATGAGGGTCTCATTCCTTCTAGTACCTCCTATTACCCTATTCAAGAGTTTTCTTATTTTGTGTAGGTTGTTTTATACTGTTAATATGTTTAGTATTTTGTTATGTCTCTCGTGGCAACGAAAGTGTTGAATCCTTGCTCGCCAGAGGAACTCAATCCCTTTCCAGTGGAAATTTAGTACTTGCTGTCGACCTTTATACTGAAGCTATTAATATTGATCCTGATAACTATATGAGTCGATATCGACGAGCCACAGCCTATATTGCTATGGGAAAGCTCAAGGTAGCATTGCCGGACTTAGAGAAAACACTTTCCCTTAATCCCGGCTTTGTTCTTGCTCACAAACAGAAGGCACTTATCAATCTTAAACTGGGTAACCTAAAAGAATCTCGTGCATCGCTTCTCATTTTGGTATGTTCAGATTATTTAATGCAATTTCTTTTTTTCATAGAAATCAAATGATGACGACGTTAATAAACTTCTAAATGATATTAATGATGCTGAAGCAAATTTGGATTATGCCAAGCAGCTCTACTTTAGAGAACAATTCACCGAAGCCTTACCTCTTTTTGACTTTGTAATGGATATTGTACCATCAAACAGAGAAATTCACGAAATGCGAGCTATTTGTCGCATAAAATCAGGTGATACTATAAGAGTAGGTTTGTAGGTAAATTATTACTTAATTCTTTCTCAGGGCATTGAGGAGTTGAGAGAATGTATTCACATGGTCAGTGATAATCGTGAGGGACTGCTCCGCGTTTCTAAGATTATGTACGATTTCGGATGGGCGGAAAGGTCCCTTGAAGAGGTTCGTGAGTGCCTCAAACTCGATCCCGATGACAAACCTTGCCGAGCTCACTATGGAAAAGTTAGGATTCTCGTAAAGACAATGAAGTTGGGTGAGAAGCAAAGAAAAGATGAAAAGTGGAATGATTGTATTAAAACTGGCAACCGGATTATTGAACTCAATGACAGCATTTCTGACTATGTACTGCAGGGGAAGGTTCTTATCTGTGAATGTGCTTCTTGGGTATGTTCTAGTGAATCATGCAAATAAGAATGTTTCTTATCTTGAGCTCGTCTCAGTTTTTTTTCTCTCTGTAGGTAGACCCTGAACTTGCCATTAGCTCTTGTAAGTACGTAATCTCCGAAAAATCACATCTGATAGATGCTTATCTGAGTCTGGGTAGAGCGTACTGGAAATTGGATTATCTTGATGAAGGTAAATTACGTCTTTTTTTCTTTTATTATTGACCATTAGAAGACATTAATTGTAGAATTTACTGGTAGTATAAGTATCAAATAGAAATCCATTTATTTGTGAGTTCAATTAGCTTTTTTAATTGGTAAGGCTTTGCTTCATTTTGAGTACGTTTTTTGTCACTGACTTTCCTGTAGTCAAAGGGACTTCGTTCTACTGATTGCTAAGATTAGTTTGGTTCTTAAATTGAGGATCTCGTAATAGATTTTTCGCCCAAAATTCACCAGTTTATTTCGAAATAATTGCTGCATTTAATGCATCAGATATTTCGATTTTGATACTCCTATTTGTTTGCCCATTGAGATTGGAGTTCAAATGTGGTCTAGTTTTTTGTGAGCAGTGATGTAGTGTCACTTTTTCATCCTCTTCTCTTATTCTTGAATATTTCATGCTCATCTTGGATACTGTGGCTTGTTGAAGGATTTGGTATTAATTGGTCTATGCCGTGTATTTTTTACGTGTTTGTTTCTTAGCCGAGCACGCATTTCAGCAGGTTCTGAAATTGGATGATAAAAACTATATGGCTCAAAATCGTTTGCATGATATAAAGAATAGACGGAAAGCTCAGGGCAAGAGAGATTACTACAAGATCCTTGGAGTTCGTCGTCGTGCCACTGATGATGAAATAAAACAGGCATATCGTAAATTGGCCGGAAAAGCTCATCCTGATCGATACACTGACCCGGTGGAAAAGGAAGCAGCAACCAAACGTTTTCTTGATATCAATGATGCTCGTGATGTCCTACTTGATCCAGGTAAATAATTTTATAATTTGCTTTAATTTTTGTTCAATCAAGCCTTTGGGTAATTTGATCTTATGTTAGGTATGCGAGCCCAATTTGATCAGGGTATTGATCCCAAAGATCCAGAGGCTAATACTCGAAGTCCATTTGGTTCGGGTAAAAGTAAACCTTTCTTCTTCCAAGGCGGTAAACCCTTCGGGTTCAATTTCAGGAATTTTGACCCCTTTGCCGGCGGTAATGGACACTTTGAGTTTCACTTTGGTTAGTCCTCTCCTTCTTCGCTCTGATTTTGATAATCGTCTTGTGTCTTTCCTCCCTCCTCAGTTTTCTTTTTGGTTAAAGAAAATTGGCATATATTTCGCTTTTTATTGGGTGTATACAGAGATATAGGTATTAGTAAACGATTTGTCCATATTTACTCTTCAACTTTTTTGTGGGTTGGATGATTCGGCCTATAAAGAAACCATATTTGCTTGAGTAGAATTACATTTTGGCGCATGGTGTCTTGTTAAACGAATTCAAAGCAATAGTTGGATGATCGATTTTAAGCACAAAGTTGAAAAAATGATATCACATTAAGTATGCTCATAGGAATTCTGGTCCATTTTAGTTTTTATTTGAATGTAATGAGGTTTGGGGAAATTGAATTTGACTTTTTTTCTGTGGTTTTATCAAGACGTGTATTGTTTCATCACATCTCCTTTCCTTGTAAAATATTATTATTCATGGGATAAACGCCTTAGGTTAAAAATCGATGGAGTACGGTAACTGAACTCATCTTAAACTCATGGAAGCAATGCATAGCTCCCTACGCTATTGCTCTTTGTTAGATTCAGGCGTATTTAAAGTAACGCCAATTTCAGCTCTAAAGCCTCTTTAAAAGTAGAATTAATGGTTGGGTTGGACAAGCTCGTATTTGACAAATGGAAATGGGTGAGGGGGAGGGGAGTGATTTGGAAAGAGAAAGTAGAGAAATCGGAGTGAGGGCAGGACCTAGTGAGAACAATCATGATTGTCAATTTGATTGCGATGAGGCTTTTGTCCTATTTAGAGTTCTTTATTCATTTATCATCAACAGATCAATAGGTACAATACGTAAGAGGGACTGAGCAGGTCGTGAATTCGAGCGCGCATGTATTCAAATTGCCATCTTAATTTTTTGAGGCATTTCAAGTGTAATTACACAATTTTCCATGGACAAGTGAGTTTATTGAATAATTCTTATCTAACTGGGAATCTGACCCTACCAGGAATTATAATGTCTCGTCTGTGGGTCGTCCCAATTTTTTGGCGAATCGTTCCACTTCACATCACCTAATTTAAATCTTTTAAATAAACATTAACATCGACGTACATCTAAGCGCTTGGCCATAAATTTTAGTATTGGCTTTAATGAAGGAAAAGCAAAATATACAATGTGTCTGTCTTATGTACTCTCTGTCTGGTTTGGAGTTTGACAATTTAATGCATTACTCGTAAGAGGCTTTAGAAAATTGTTTACTAAGGAAAAAACGCAGAGTTGCTTCCTTCATCGCGTCTCGAACACCCACTTATAGAATTTGCGATCTTTTATTAGTACCCTAATACACCCAGATATTTTTCGTGAGACTATACTCATTTTTTAATGCAAAAATGTGATTTTTTTCACTTCCAGATCCATAGAGATCTTGTGATAATATTTATTTTCGGAATGAATTAAAACTGATTCCTATGTTTTGTTACTCAAAAAGTAAAACGGAATGCTTGTAGCGAGATTTTCTTCACCAATTTTCTGAACGGCTAAAATTGGAATTTGTAACAGTCCTCACTTTCCTTAGATATTGACGGCTGAAACCGTTCTCATCATTTTAAATAACTTTTAGCCAGCGTTAAAATAAATGCGTCAGCTACTACTTTCATGCCTATATTCAAAATAAAAAAGTTTTGGTGCGATTGGACCTTAAATGTTTACTTAATCAATTAGCTATCTTTGCCATTTTTTTCATGCTCAACGGTTTAGAAACAGCGACATTGTTTGATCTACGTTTCTAGAAAAAAAATTCTTCACTAAGTTCACTTCAATGACTTTTTGAAGTGACTTCTCCTGATGACGAAAAGAATAAACATACTTTCTCTACGGAAAACTATTACCTTAAGGTTTAACTCTTTAATGCTAGAATTGACCTCCTCGGATGTGCTTTCAATTCTATAAATCTCACTAATTCAAAACCACGGGGAACTTCTTTGAAACAATTCAAGAATGTGACTAATGTACACGAGGTGTTGATTTCCAACTGCTATCGATCAAAGATAAGGGAAGTATTTTTACAATTATCTTAAGGAATTTCTGAGTGAATGAACGTATTGCTTATTTTTCCATCGAAGTCACAAGAGAATAACCCAAAATTCAGCAATCTTCCTAATCTTGACCACGAGGAGGAGAAGGAATACAAAGGCTACGCATTTCTCTCCACAAGTATCCCAAACCGGGTCGATTGAAGTGTATTTTTGTATTTGTGTGTGTCTTTATTATTCATAATACTTCCAAAATTATTTATATTTTGCTAACAACAATGCTAGATTTATCAATTAACTCTAAATAATCTGCCTAATATTCATCTTTTAGAAGTTATAAATTTCTTCCATGGAGGCAGATATGATGTGGCTCCAGCGAGTTTAGATGCACGCTTTTTGCTTGCTTTCTCGAGGTTATTCAAAAAAAGATATAACAAACAAAAATTCAAGTAATATTTAGTCTCCTGTCCTTCTAGACTGAATTTACTCTCGTTTATTAGCATTCTTTTGACCATTTATCTGCGATATGCTCAAACCCCATGCGAAATATTGAAAATAGGCCAGTCATCTCAAGAAAGGGAATGCATATTTAGATCCTGCTGATCATTTATTGAATAGTTTGCACTTTGATAGTACTCTACATCTTATATATTTATCTGGTTACTTGGACGGGATTTCAGTCTAATTTATCCTCAATTAGGGCAAGTAAGCAAACTCTTGCTATGCTTATATTTGAATTTGAATGTGTAGGTATAGGACCATTAACTCCAAGCCCTTTTAAAAGAGCGTTTCCTTGCACCTATCATGGTTGGCACGATGGAGCAAGGCTAATGTAGAGCACAACTTTTGCCAATAGATTTAAAAGACTCAATAAATTTGTGCAAGGGGCATTCCGTACAATGAGTGTGCATTAACAAACATGCAATCTGTGGCTTCTCATTTTGCGTAGAGTTAGCTGATAATCATTGCTCCAAAGCCGTATATTTCTCCAATAAGCATAATAAACAAGGAAGTATATCTTACCATCGCATCCGAAATACACAACGTGAATTAGGACGATATATTTAAACAATAATAGTCAAAATATAGAAGAATGGAAATGGTTCGATGATGTCAGCCGTTAGGGAGTGGGGGGTCGATATAGACTCGGTAATGCTGCTTTGAAACACACAAATGGACAATAATTGGCAATAAATTCGTATGAAACACGGGGTTACTGACAATGATCGATAATTTAGTGTTTCTTAATTATTCGAATCACATGACACTACTTACTAAATATTGATTTACATCTATATAGTCTCTTATATTACTTCCACAAAAACCAATTGTGCACATTCGAGTTTGACACCTTGAGACTAGTTTTAACTACTTTCAACATTTGACTAATTTGTGAAAACTGTCAAACTAAGCTTAAGTGAACATAAATTAATCCTCATATAAGCATTTACCAAACATTTTAGTTAAGTGTTTACACAACTCCGAGATTTCAAACCGCTCTCCTAACAGTGAGGGGCAAAGTGTGAATATTAGTCATCAGATTTCGAAACTGTGCTTCAAGGCATGCTCCACTCCAACTTACCGAATTATTGGTCAAAAGGCCATGTAGCTCTTTGGTAAATTCAGAGAAGCGTTTTCTGTTGCCCACCTCGAGTAGAGGGAAAATTCAGAATTTCCCACCCCCTTCCTTAGCCTAACGTAACCTATGGAGTTAGTCTTATCATCTAATGGATTTTCATCTGTGGGCAGAGAGCATCTGGCTACTGACTGTGGTCAGGCGCATTATCTACTACATTCGTCTCAACTCATCCCTCTTGCTTATCTTCCTAGTTATAATGCTTTCATTTAATGGAAATTCGATAGGCACTTGTTTAGCCATCATCGCGCAGTTGCCACTTGGTAGTGTTAATGTCTTCTTTCTAGGAAATTTCCACTAAAATCTCTTTCACCAGCGTCACTCAATTGTAACTTGGCGATATCCCCAATCCGGGCTATTGAGGAATCGATAGGAATGTAGACTTTGGAAATAATGTGGGCTTTTCTGTTCTATTCCCCAAAACTATTTCAGGGGTATTTGCGGATAAATTTGCTATGTTTGGTTGAATTTAGGGGATCAGATGTATACCTTTTATGACAAACAATTTTAAATTATTGACATTATTTTACGTCTTCGACACCAACCACACAGAGGTGAAAGTTCACAAAACTAACGTCTTTATGACCTTCACTATAAAAGAGATTGGATTTGGGAGCTAAAGCTTAATGTTCTCAATTTAATTGATAAATCGATCGGATGGTTGAAGTTCATTAAGAAGAGCCATAAGACTGGGTTGTATTGAGGAGAAATACCTACTCAATAAATATAATCAATAACTAATTAATGTAATTAAATATTAATTATATTTACTTAGCTTAAGTGGTAATGTTGGAAATTCCCTCCTGATGCGAATAGCACCTGTCGTCGGCTCTCAACATGTCTCCATATTCAATACCGTACTTCGAGTGCCTGCAAACCGAACTAATGTTGCAAATTGTGCTGCGGGCGAAACCTACAAAGGGTAATAATAATTTAAGGAGAGGGATCAGAACTAATATGAACAGGCATTTTCTTCAGAGATTGTGGACTCTTTACGTTGCTTTCCGACATTTTCGGCCTTCAATCGGTAAAAAATTGGACTTTAATTCTTTATTAATTTACGGTTCTCATGGTCAGGCACATGGCACTTAGAGTCCCCTCATAATTTCATTTGTCACTATCACGAAAAGCTCCGAATCAGATACCTTGCGCTTGTAGTGGATTGCTACAGTAATAAGCCCTGACTTATGCTCAGTAATGTCTGTGACAAGATCGTTTATTTGGGTTGTGGGGTGTGCGATAGACTACCTCCATGTGGTGCACCCCGGGCAACGTATTCTCATACGGCAAAAAGTCTATTAAGTGGCAGTTGACTTCTGGCTTCAAACTAACAAGGCCCCATTGCATTTCATATTC